AATTTAGATGAGCTGTGTGGACATGAAATTATTACAACTGAACTTGTGGAAGGAATACCAGTTGACAGATGTGTAGAGTTAAGCGAAGATCACAGACGTTTCGTTGCAATGAAGATAATGGAGCTATGTCTTCTTGAATTATTAGAATTCGGTTTTATGCAAACTGATCCGAATTGGGCGAATTTTCTGTACGATCCTGACCAACGGAAGGTTAGTAATATTGAATGTGTCGAATAATTTTTAACGTTTGAACGGATTTTAGATCAAGCTTCTTGATTTTGGAGCTAGTCGTTCCTATTCCAAAAAGTTTATCGATACATATGTGAAAATTATAAAGGCTGCAGCAGATGATGATCGTGATACAGTTCTCCGTTTGTCTCAGAAGCTTGGGTTTCTAACAGGATATGAATCAAAGGTAAGGGTGAGGTTTTTTTTAACTGCTATTGAGAATATTTATTGTTTTCAATTTTTGGACATCATTTTCTTCCACTAGTTTTTGCTTATTTGTTGCAAAAGTTTATGTTAAAAAAGTTGCATAATACAGTACTTTTTAACTTCTTAAAACAAAAAAAAAATAAACTGTTATTCTTTCTTTTGAATGATTTTCAATAAGAAAATTGTTATTTTTTCATAGGTAATGGAGGAAGCCCATATTGACGCAGTTATGATCTTAGGAGAGGTGTTTAGGATAGATGGTGATTACAATTTTTCTGCTCGAGAAACGACTTTAAAAATACAAAATTTGATTCCTACCATGCTGGCTCATCGCTTATGCCCCCCACCTGAGGAAATTTATTCTTTGCATCGGAAACTTTCAGGGGTGTATTTGCTCTGTTCCAAACTTAATGTGGCTTTTCCAGCTCGGAAACAATTTTTTGATATGTATAATAAATATAAATTTGATGATGATCTTGAAGAAGTACAACAACGACAGAAAATTCAATATCCGGGAGTGGCAAAGAGCATAGAGAGTGATATCGATAATTTGGTTGGCATTATGAAGGTATTTGATAAAAACCATAGACTATACATATAAGAACGCGTATGTGTCCAAATTATACCTCTACACGACTAATTTAACAAATATTAATATAAAAAAATTAACCATTTTTGTCATGTTTACGCATATACAAATAGATAAAATAGATTAAGTGATTCATGTTCATTTGGTTTCATATTATGCGTTTGATTATATATAAAAATTTAAAACCAAAAAATCCTTCAGTGGGCATATGATAACAACAGTATTATTACTCAACAGCTGACTTTAACTTTGAAGTAAAATAGAACCTCTGAATAAACAGAATAGAAAACAGCCTTATTTAGAAGTAACAAGGTAAAATTTCGCAAAATTGAGTATTGTAAGAACTGAATGTTTTTGTCAGACCATAAAAGAATTAATGTTGTACTAAACAGTGGTGTGTTTGGGTGATAAAATAAGCCTTTAATATAAAAATCGTGATACTGTGGGGTATGTAACAAATATAATACAGGTTTACATTCAAAAAATTAATAATTTACCATAATTACTTTAAAACTATTAAAAAGATTAACAAAAGGATTTGCTTAGCTTGAAAGGGAACATTATATATGTAATAAATATGGTTTCACTATTAATCTCATCAATATTTACCAATCAAGGCAGTGTAATAACTAGAAACAGTTTTGTCTAGAATTTTAATATTAGAGTATAGCTATTACTTTTGCTGGAATGTCACGTTCACAAGACATTCTTGGCGTAATTCGTGGTTTACAAGCAGTGTCAAAAGCTGGAATTAAATTACAAGAAGACAATTTAAAATTGATATTGAAAAATTCAACTGTAAAAAATTCAGTGGAAGAATTAGCTAATGCTGTTAAACAAGGTCCACAAAATGTACTTCAAAATGTAGCTGATTTAAACAAAGTTGCTAAAGAAGGCACTGAAAGAGTTGTCACCGTTATTCAAAGTGCTAAACAGTATTTTGATTTATATTCACCAACTTATGGGAAAGGTAAGAAGCCACGTGCCAAATGTGATTTCTATTTCAAAATAAAATACTTTTTGTATAATACTGANTATGATATTAGTATCTTTAGGTTCTTTGATGGTAATTGTTTACCACGAAATAATGGCGCATAATAATACAAATCACAAAATTAAATAGTTCTACCTGATTTTTCATAATGCTTGTTATTTATAAAACAAACTTGAAAGTTTAAGTAATATTGCATGGCGTATTTCGTATTCATTTTTGATTTGATATATTATCACTGATGATTGACATATTAGATTATGTTAATTTAGTTGTAGAAACGTTCCCTCTTGTCTCCGTATTAGGATTGTTGGAAATATATTATTTAAAGAACAAGTATGAATTTTCAGAATAATGCAAAAGGTAGGTATAGAAGTATTGTGAAAAATATTGTCATTCTACTGCTATTCTTCAAATTAGATTCTTAAAAAAAGTGTCAACTGTAATCAAGTACACTAACATCAATTTTACAACATATTCGGTTCGAGACATATTCATATGCAGAATTGTAACAAGAAAATTGTTTCCGTCATTTTTACTTTTTATCCTCTTATGATACTCATTCACTAAAGTCTTCTGTTACTTATGACTACATTATAAAAATGTTGTAGATACATTCAAAAATTCACTTTCTTAATTAACCAAGTTGACTGGATATCGCAATATCGGTTGACGAGATAGATATCGAATGCAAATTTAGTTGTGGAGTTTTGTTCACTATAATTTTTCGTAGGTATATTAACAAGTAAGTGAGTGCTTCTATATAACAAAGTAAAAAAAATATGTTTTATGTGTATGTTTAATAAACCTTATTGATACCTATAACAAACAAATTATGGGTTCTTAAAATTGTCTATAGAATGCACAATAATCGCTCTTAATATACTTAATTATAAGTATCTAACTGCTAATAACTGGATTAATCATAATTAATTTTAGTATTGAAAATAAGGATCGTTAAAAAAAAGTGATTATCCTGCGTCTATTCCTGTCTTATCATACACATACATATATAAGTATATTACAAACGCTGTCAGTAGAGCGAAACGATGGTGGTGTGGTTTCGGTATCGCAGATATAACCGGAGGCCAGCTAATATCAACTTCATAAAAATTAAGAAACTTATAGTCTTTGCAATTTTATTCAATATTGTACCCCCCTTACGGAAAAAGGACCGCGTATATGTTCGCCTTCGAAGGCTGCACGAGCTACTATATAAACAATCCCTGATTCTAAGACGAACAGAAGTACAGTAACTAGTTCAACTATCACGATAAAATTACAAATTTCATCAAACATGAAATCCATGGTAAGGATATTACATTAAATTAGTATTTATCACATATTTAGCTCCTCAATAAGCGATTTCACTAATAATTTGTATAATTTCACTTTCATACTTACAGAACTTTTACCGTGTAGAACAGCAGGAAGTAAGAATCTATTTCTATTAATTAAAATAATGTTGATTTATAGTTGACATCAATATTATAAATAAAGATTTTATTTTGAAAATACTTTTCGAAATTAAATAACAACATGCTTTATTCACAAGAAAAACAGCTTTTACTTTGAAAGGGCTGATTCAATAACCCATGTTAAGAAAGTGTACGGAATAAAGAATCAGCTGTGAGTGCATAAACTTATTATTTCTATATTCTATTTTTAAAAGATTCCTTTTTAAATAAGTAGTAAATATACCCAGTATGTATGTGGGCAGTGCATATTAATTCGTAAAAATCGTTTGTTTATATCACGTTTATTCATATTCGTAACATTTTTTTCATAGGAAGTACGAAAGTGTGTTAAATAACTTGCGTTGTCTCTCGGTACACGTAACACAAATACATAAATAGGTATATTAAATATCTGAACTGATCCGGTGTGTTTTGTTATGATGCAATTTATTCTAAGTTTTGCTCATACTGATAAAAATCAACCGCCTCTTTAGCAAATGTTAAGTATAAAGTGGAAAAGTAAGAATTGATGTCTGGACCGAAATTTTGCACTTTGAATTCTCTCTTTCAAGGTTTTGACCTAAATTTTCATACGCATTTTTGAAGGCTAGTTGCATCATCCATGCTATGACTCAAAAAAGGCATTTTATCTTCTGTTCCTAATTTTCGATGTAAAAGTCATCATTATCTATATTACAAAGTATCAAAGCCAAGCTGGTTTTTCTGACCAATAGGAACGAAAAAACTTT